TTTATATAATGAAATTGTCCAGTTTCCTTTACCATCTCTTGCTTGACCTGGTGGCCTGATAATGCATCACTCCATCTTGGAGTTGTTAGTACAGGAAAAAAAAAATACTAATCCAAGCACACATATCATTCACTACTGTTCTCGGTTTCTGAATTCCCTTTTCTTGAGGATGTAGGCATGGGTGGAGCTACAGCCTTCTGCATGCTGGACAAACACTCTGCCACTGAGCTGCCTCCCAGGACAGCATAGTCTTTCAGTGCCCATGTTAGGGGATAACTACTTCCATCTGATGACAGGAAGGAGTTACAGGCCGCCTTCTCTCCAGACTATAAACATCTGGGGATGCTGTTAAAATAGGGACATGGATTATACCCAGAGAAGCTCAGGACAAGAGTTCAGAATTGCTCTTGAAGTGGTGTCTTCTCTGCTCTCAGAACCCTAGAATGGATATCTTGGCAAACTGACTTGATTTCACTGTTAGAAGGTCTTAGTTCAGCACTTCATTTACTTCATTTCATTGCTTACTATTTTGAGTAAACCTTTGGCTCCATAAAATGTAACTCTGGGTGCTTCAGCACTGAAGGGCTGAGGAGCTCAGATCCTGAGCCCCTCCCCCCCCCCCGTATATGTGTCATATACCATTTTGCCACCACACAGCCTTTGCTTTTTACACATAGGTCCTTCTGGTCATCCCATTGTGTTATTTTGTAACAGAGTGGGATCCCGAGTCAAGTTTTTGTCTTGTCTCATCTGAAGTGTTTAACTTGGTACTTGCTTGCCTAAACACTAGTCTTCATCCGTTAGTCTTCATTCTGGCATGCCATTAAAGCCCTGGAAAGCTTCTCAAGAATTAAAGAACAGGAGAGAGATCTAGCCCATGGGATCTGGTGGTCCTTGGCAGTTTCTTAGAGGACTTGTAACATTAACATTGATCTTACACTCACAAGCCCTAGGGTTAGAAGCCACGTGATTGAGTTTCTGAACACGTGCCTGTCTAGATTCCTCATTAGCGCTTCTACTTCAGACTGAGGTTCACACTGAGAACCTCCTCATACATCACCAGGCTATCTCACCATAATCACCCTATCCCAAGCAGGGCGCCCTGTGATAACTTCCTGTCTTGTCTGCTGCAGCCAGCCTGCTGACATAGAGCATTAAAACATTTTTGTTTCCTTTTTAGTCAGCTTCAGGGCACTCATTTCATGGTACTCTCGTAAACACCACACCTCTAGTGAACACTAACGGTTCTGGATCACTCTCCCTAAAGAGATTTCTTTCTTGTAGACGTGTGTAATGTCGATCACCAGAACAAGGCAGGGTACACGCCTATCATGTTGGCTGCCCTCGCAGCCGTGGAGGCAGAGAAGGACATGCAGGTTGTAGAAGAACTCTTCAGCTGTGGAGACGTGAACGCCAAGGCCAGTCAGGTTAGTGCCTTGCTTACCGCGCTCACCATCGGTACCCTGGCCAGTGTCTCATATGACCAGGTTGACAGGGCATTTTGCTGGTAGCACACTGACAGCTGTAGTTGTGTACTGACCAGCATCCCGGTGACATGTGGTCTCAACTCCATGTTGCAAACCTCTCCCTCCTTTGCCTGGCCTCTTGGGAAGCTTGCAGGGAAACTAAACATGGTTGCACACAAGGGTCCCTACCTGTTTGGGGTCCTCATCTTACACTCATTGCCTACTAACTGCAGTTATCTTGTTGGTTTGGCTTCATGCCAGAGCTCTAAGCCTAAATGTGTTCACAAGTTTACCTTAAACCTCTTTGGAACTATCTACCTTGCTGTACTGAGATGGCCACAGAGCTCAGATGAAAGCCTGACTCCTTCCTCTGTGCTCGTCCTTAGCTCATAGTGCCAGTGCCTTTGTGTGTCGTCTAGTCTACCCACCCCCAGCTTTCTCCTGCCCAATGTTCACTTCTGACTCTGACCATCGTTTCTCTCATAGGCAGGACAGACAGCCCTCATGCTGGCTGTCAGTCATGGACGGATAGACATGGTGAAGGGCCTCCTGGCCTGTGGGGCTGACGTCAACATCCAGGACGACGAGGGCTCCACTGCCCTCATGTGTGCCAGTGAACATGGGCATGTGGAGACTGTGAAGCTGCTGCTGGCCCAGCCGGGCTGCAATGGCCACCTGGAGGACAATGTGAGTACCACTGGGCCTCCAGCCAGGAGCAGGTGTGGGCCCGCTTTCCCGTTCCTCATGGACTGGTGTTGGTATCCAGGCCTCTTCCCTTCATAGTACAGCTCAGCAGTGTTTACCATGTATAGTGTGATATTGCATTAGCCAAAAGCAAAAATAAATACATAAATGGACCTCACCCTCGAGTTTGTGCAAGGAAGAAGGTGAGACCCAGCACTCCTAATGGGGGTGAACAGATTGGCCCTACAAAATCAAACTCGCAGAGGCAGTCCCTCAGTAGAAGCTTGGGTTTTCTCCCTTGAGTGGTTCATCAATGTGAATAATCTGTGACACATAAGCTAGGAAGTCCACAAGTCCTTTGGCCATTCTGAGTACATTTTTCCACTTCTGCTTGGTCTGTTTCCATCATCACCAAACTAACCTTCTCACTGAACTCCCTGTCCCATTCCAAGATAAACCTTGCATGAGAGCATTCTGAGGCATGAGCGCACAGGCCAGAGAGACCATGCTTGCAGGCTGAGAGCATAGGACTGGCACTTGGGCTGTGGAAGCAATGCTGGGTCATGGAGGTCAGGCCAGGCTGGTTCTCATTTTGAAAGTTTATCTCTGCCGAACACTGGTTCAAACTAGAGCATCCTTCGTTTCAAAACACCATAAAGTTAGAGGGGAAATATCCTTCTTTGCCATAAAGCTCAGATCCTACCGGGCTCACACCAACAAGCAAAGCAGGGGAGGTCCATTCCCCTGGGTAGAAGGGCCATTCCCTCCCACCTCCAGGGACAATGCAGTTCCATTCACTTCTTCAGGGAGCATGTGTTCACTGCTTACTTTTCCCCCACTATGGTCTCTGTTGCATGTGTTTTAAGGTTTTGCTCAATTGCTTTCTCTCTGAAAACTTGTTGCTTTGTACAAGTCTGTAGTGTGACAGGGACTTGCAGAAATCCTGGCTACCCAGCTAATTGCCCACTTCCTTATCCTTATACACAAGTAGGACAGCATTAACCTGACCTCTGGAAGAAAAGCTGCTCCCTGGATTCCCAGTGTAGGAGGGCAGGATGCTACTATTCAACCCAAGAGGGAATCTTTTCCTGTGGCTGTGACCAAAGGAGACTCCTTACTTCAAAACCAGACAGGGGACAAACTGTGCTGTCCTTTGCCTTAACTGCTTCACATCCATTTCAGACTCTGCAATTTCATAAAAATCAAACAGCTGCCCTCCCCAAAAATGCTTCTTTTCCATTGCAATGTTTCCCCCTGGTATTTCCAGGAGATACGTATTTGCAGGCAAACATCCAGGATAGAGTGCTTACGTGTGGATTTGACCCAACATTCAGCAGAGGTGCTATAGGCTACAAGACCACAGCTTCCTTGTTCAGAGGAAGGCTAGACCAATCCACACATACCCTAGTTCTTACCTGGCCATTTGTGATTATAAGAAAAGAGACTACAGTTTCTGCCCCTCCTGTCCTTACTGCCTCTCTGGCGAGTGGGACAATTGGATAGGGGCTCTCTGTGGACAGCCTTCAGTTTTTAAGGACCTTGGTGTACACATCCCTGTGCCAGTGCTGATAGGCAAAGCCAAGGAGAAAGAGTGACTCTCCTTGACTTCTTATGGACAGAGACTAGACTCGCTCGCCTCCACATTCACAACCCAGCAGGTTAGATCCAGAAACGCTGCCTGAAGCACGGAACAGATGGCTAGACTTGGGGGACTTTCTCAGCTTGCTACCTTCTGGCTGATGGAGTTTTGAGAGACTCAGCCTGGCCTGTTGTTTTCGTTTCCTCTTTAGGATGGCAGCACCGCTCTCTCCATAGCCCTGGAAGCTGGACACAAGGACACTGCCGTTCTTCTGTATGCCCACCTCAACTTCTCGAAAGCCCAGTCTCCAGTCAGTAGCAGGCATTTGGCATTTACAAATAGGATGGAATCCACAGGCTGGCAGGCCCCTTCCCAGGGGAATGATAAGGCCACAGGGGTCTTATGTTAATTCTGAATATGGGATTTTTAGCCCAGAGCTTAAGTTTTCATCATTTCTACCCTGTGCCAGGAAAGCCTGGGTCCCAGTCTTCCTTGGGGGACAGCAGCTCTCACAGGGAGCTAATTCTAAGCATAATGATCCAAACAGCACAGGTTGAGCTCCGGGCTACATGTCACTGTGTTCTTGACACTGTTTCTAAAGCTCTCAGCAGGCTGCTCATCAGCTCAGAATTTACTTCGAATGGGAGGGAGGCTGACTTCCTAGGACAGCTGGACAATCCCTGCTTAGCCTGGCTGACTTTAGAGCCATGCCTGCAGAGGGTGGACATCTGTCCCACATTCTCAGGAAGAGATCGCCTGGCTCCGGCACACAGATGGTTGTCAGCTGTGATGAACCAACGTCTGGGGGAACACATCTGCCTGAAGTCACTCATTAACCTCCACTTTTCCCCTCTTTCCTGGTCTCTAGGGCACCCCGAGGCTTGGACGAAAGACATCTCCTGGTCCCACTCACCGAGGTTCTTTTGACTGATTATGTAAACACGGCCCTCATGTGTACCACCATGAAGCTGCTAGTTATTCCTGTTGGGGTGACAGATACTGAATGTATATGGACCATGCCAAGCTGACCAGCAAAACAGAAGTGTAAAGGAGCAGGCTGAAGGCTGATGCTTTTTCAGGGAAAGCAAAGCTACTGGGAAATGGCTAAGCTAGGTGCAGGCCACCTCTCTAGCCCTCCGCTCTTGTAGGGTTTAGACCCACCTCTGTGGCTGCTGCTGCTCTGGCTCCGTTATTTGCAGTGGTAGGTAATGGTAGGCTGGCCTGACCCGGCCATTTCTACCATGGAAGCAAATGTCAGATTCTCTCTGGCGTTGTAGTTTCGAATTTTTCCACAAGTACTTAATAACTTACTAAGTGTGGAGCGGTTGGGAAGCCCGTCCAGTATTCCATTCCAGGGTGCTTCTGTTCACTTCTCTTTTGTCTTTTAAAATAAGAACCTTGAGGGAGAGGACTTTGATTATCAGCAACTTGCACCTCCCCCCTCCCCAGGCTGACAAATTTCCTGCTTAAAAATAGAAGATGGAACTCTCGAACCATATAAACTTACAGCAAGAAATATTTTCAGTTGGTTTATCTAGGTGGATGTATTATATGGTTTTTTATATAAAAGACTTCTATTATATGAAATTGACAACAGTATTTTCAACTTTTATATTCCACAGTACAGTCATAAAGAGCTAATGTTACGTTTTAAGCTACTGCCCAACCATGTCTATATCTGGTGATAACAGTTTGAATTAGGTTAGAGGGTTGGGTTCCAGATTTGCGTCTACGGAGGCAGAGTGTAGCTCTCTGTGTATTTCCATCATGCCGCATTTACTTTGGTCCTGTATATGTATTTAAATGTTTGAAGTGCCTTAGACTCTTGCCATATTTTCAAAATAAAATTTCATTAAGCTCTGTCGCTTGCCCCTGTTCATCACTGACAGCTGTCTGCCTGGCCCGGATGACTAACAGCAGTGGCCACAAATGGTGATGGATGATTTGGGCTTCTCAGGCTCCAAGGGGGGGCAGTCTCTGAGGGTCCTTGAGTCTGTGACACAGGTTCCACACCCCAAAGGCTGCATGTCACAGCACTGAAATTTAAAACCTTACACACCACTACCAGGCAGGTAACCTCCAAGGAGCCCCCAGAGTTGATTCTTCCCAGATGCATGAATGTTAGCTAGTCCTGAACTATTTGGGGATGCAACTACCTGTGGTTGGCTAAACAGGAAAAGGAAGCCAGACAGACTTTTTGAAAGTTTTGCATCTTCTACAGAAACTGTTGGAGGAGTCATGAGAGAAGTTGTGGGGATGGATTCAGTTCGGCCTGGGCCAGCTGAACACTCTCTGCAGGAGCCCTGGAGCTTCTGGGACAGAAATCTGTCCTCATCTGTGTCCTCACTGTAAAAATGAAGTTACAGAGACTGGGACTCCCAATCTGTTCTCTCCTTCCCCAGACAGAGCTGCGAGCTCTGGGATTCAGGCTAAATTTTGGCTCAGGAAGTTATTAAAGCCAAAGTCCCATGGACCAGAAAGGGGCACAATAGATTAATGGAGGGTGGGGGGCATTTGTGAAGGGAAGTGGTTCTGGGCTTTGTTTCTCCCTTAATGGCCCAAAATGCCTTTTGAGCAAAGAGCTATTTCTCAGGAGGTTTCTGATCCTGCGGATTTTGTTTTTCTGAGAAGTAAAACGCATCAATACTGCGAATGCGGCCCCAGATGGATTCTTTTAACAGAGTAGTTGTGTTTACCTAACTTGCACACAGTCCTGAGTTCAATCCACAGCAGTAACCCAAAAAAAAAAAAAGCTTAAAAAAATATTGTAAATGAATGAGGAAAACGAAAGGAGCCCTTGTGCTCTGATAAAAACAAGTGCTTATTTTATCTTTGAGTAAAGTCTTACACACTGTGTATCTAACCTCTGAGTACTGCGCTGGCGCAGGCCATGTTTGCTCTCATAATACCGGCACCTCGAATGCTTTTTATCTTGAGATGGCCACACATTGTACACATAAGGCTGATTATTCCTGTCCGTAAAGCCTTGTGTGGTTTACGGAGGCACAACTCTTTGTAAAGGGACTCTGAAAGGAGACGTGGGCCAGGTCCCTAAGGAAGCACAGTCCAAGGGAGGAGACAACTGGCTTTATCTTCTGGTAAAGGAAGAGGAAACCAAACCTATAGGTGATGCCAATGTCCTAGAAACCTTTCCCCTGGAAATGGAACAGCTGAAGGCTGGAATTTACCCTAAGACAATACAGTGGGAACTCTGACCCTGATATCAGAAAGTGACACTGACAATGTGTCCAAATGCTGTCAGGACACGTGGTGAACCTCTCACCACGGCAAGGTAGTTTGCTTCTGGAGAAATCTTATCTGGAACACATGGCTGACACAAGTGCCCAAATACAAAAATGTGTTGAGCCCTTTCCTGTCAGATGTCAGTGCTCTGAGAGAAGTTTGATCCCTGGCTTTGTAATCCTGAAACTACTGTGGTGGACATGGGAGACGGACAGAAAACTGCAGTTTTTCCCTTAAAGGAGAGAATGAGCAGCTAACCATAACCCTTTTTTAAAATCCTGGTGGCTCTTTTCTAGCGGACCTGCTTGCTACATGTAGATCTTTGTGTGTAAGCTTTCCATTCACAGAGCAGGTAAGGATTTCCTGGGGGAGCTGACAAAAAATACAGTCTGGCTCTCCCCTTGGAATCTGATGCCCTAGGTTTGTAAGCATCCCAGGTCCATGTCAGTGCAAGTTAGGTCCATGCTGAGATTCGTAACCAGGAACTCTGTGTACCTCAGCTGTGCCAGGAGCCCATCCATGCTTAGTTTCTATGTTGCTTGTCCATGTCCAGGGGCATTTTGGATCCTCCTGGGATAGTCATTTACAGGAGGCCAGGAGCCATGACTGCCACCATCCTATTTTTTCCACCCTTAGTTGACCGGAGGCATGTGACAGACTGAGCAGGCATGCTGGCTGCTTTTGGTATGTTTTCTCAATTTAATCTTTCCTTTCCCGCTTCCTCCTGGTGCTAGATTATGGTTACTCAGGAAGGCCACGAACCTTTGCTTTGGCTTTGAAATCAATACTTTGCCATTTTCTTTTTTGCCAGAAGCGCAATGTTTCAAAGCCCTGGCCCAGGAAACAAGTTCATTTTACACTCAGCAGAAGGAAATAAGTAATCGCATATTTACTGTACTCTAATTCAGCATGGCTGTAATTTAGAAGCCAGCAGGTTATAAAAATATACCCAAAGTACAATTTGTTGGAGATGTTACCCCAAAAGGATGTGGTGAGCCCTTGCCCACAGTGCTCCAGACCTATCCAGGCCCCCTGCTCACTCTCACTGCGGTCCCCAGCAGTACGCTTGGAGCTGAGAGTTAATGATGCAGTCAGATGGTATCCTGACCTACCCACTCTGAATTTGGCAAGGATGTGGCACAGAAACTAGAAAGCCAAGTGCTGGTTTTGAACACTTGTATAGAATGTCTGGTATAGAGGGCTTTGGGGGAGTTTTGGGAGATTAGCTATCCCTCTGCCTCTCCTGTTAAGTCCTTTGGTGACTTGATAAAGGATGGAAAGTCTGCCCCTCATTTTCAAATCATGGGACCTGCATAAGAGATACTGCCAGCCAATGTTAAAACAAGCCAGCAGGTGCATCCCACTCTGCATCCTAGAAGGAACCAGTTTGTGGGTCCTTGAGTGCCTGGAAGGATGAGGCTGGGTACTAAACAAAGAGCAGAGGCCTGAGGTAGATGAACAAAAGCTCGCTCTATTGTCAGCTACTCCTACTCCGGGTGGCTTTTAACACCACAGGAGACCAATCCCTTCTGGGAGGACCACTTGCCCCTCCTGTGTCAAGCAGCAAAGACTTCTGGCTTATTAGGAAATATTGGCTGTGTGTAAATAAGCAGGCAATTAAGACAGTATTCACCAAGTTGAATCCTTGAGATCTTCAGTAACTTAGAGGGAAAATACCAATGGACAGCATGCCCAGTAGGACCTACTTTTGGGTTTGGATCTCTAACACCATCTGCCAGGACTGAGGGGTCCCAGTGCCTGGCAGGTGAATACTGACTGAACGAATGAGTGTAAAAAAATCGTTTAAGGCTGTGGAAAGTCAGGAGAGAGTTGCCTGGGAGATGGGGAGAGGGGACTGGGAGGGAGCTACAAGGCTTCCTACAGGTAGACAGCCGCTTCCTGCCTGTATGATACCTGCGGTGTATACTCTGTGGATGGATGTTAGCATCAGGGTGTTTTTAGTTAAAAGATAGGTCAAAGAAGATCTGGGGATGGGTGGCTTAGATCCAAAGGTCAGTAGGATGCAAAGGGCTAGTGGGTGGCTGTGAACTTGAAGCTCTTGACCCCTACAGGGTGTCTGTAACGTAGTGCACAGCTCCGCTCACCAGGAGTGCCAAGGACCACACACGATCTAGGATTCTAGCCAGCAGGGATGCTTTCCCATGGGCCAGTGCTTTTAGGAGGTACAACAGAATAGAGTGTACTTCCCATTCAATTCTGAAGTTAGCCTTGACTGTGTGATGTCCTCTGCCAATGCCACATTGATCCAGTAATGTGTCAACTACAGATGGAAGCTTTAAAAACCTAGAGTGAACCTATAGCATGATTTAAAATCTCCAGAGTCCTCTTGAAGCCAGTTCCTGGAACAGGATGCTGCTGTGACCAAGACAACAAAGAAACTACCAGCAGGGGACTCCCTGGCAGACAGACCAAAGTTGAAATGACTGTTTTCTAAATGCCAGGAATGACACACACCACGGAGAGCAAGTCCCTACTGTGTGTAATATATTCCTGGGCCACTCCTGTGCCGCCTGGAAGGCAGACTGCATTCATTCCCTGAGGCTCCCGTTGCCAAGGTCTAGCAAAGGCCCAGGAATCAGCATTTCCTCTTAGTTCCCAACTACTGCTGCTGATCCAGAGGCCACATAGTGAGTATAAACTGCACTGTAAGTCGCCCTTCCCTTACCTCAGCTGCAAAGGGTCTATCTGGAAGGATTGGGGCTGAGAGATCACCTCAGAGTCCATATTTTTCACCTGGAGGTGTCTCAGAAACTAAGTCACAAGGGCTCACAAGGCTCCTTGTAGAATTTGCGCTTCCCAATCGAAAGATAATTCTGAAAAGATGCCTTTGTCAATGAGAAGCCTTCTTTTTCTAAGGCTCAGCCAACATATCCCATGTTTATAAA